ACGTAAATGATATCATCGTCATCCTGTATCAAATCAAGATCAACAAAAAAAAAAAAGTAATAAAAAAAACGTTATTTAGTTTAGTTTTTACAATGTTGATTATCTTAAAGAAACAAACAACAAAAAAAAAAGAAAAAAGAAATCCATTCTAATTGATTGATGTTTTTCTTACGTTTTTCCATTTATTAGTTTTGTTGGCCTTCCGCTCTCTCTTTTATACTATCTCTAACGGATGTTTAATTGATTTTGTTTCTTTTTTTTTCTGCGGTTTTGTTTGTCGGTCGATCGAGAAAAAACACAAAGAAGACAAAGCCCTGTGTATATAGTGTGCGTGTCTAAATATTTATCATTGACTTTTTTTTGTTTTGTTTTTGTTGATTTAATAATAATGTTTTTATAGTAATTTTGCGGTAAAAGATGAAAGATATTTATTAAAAAAAAATTAGAATGAAAATTATGTTGTTATTTTCGGTGTTTGTTTATTGTCGGCGTTGTTGTTGTTTTTTTTCAGGTAAATCACAAAAGAAAAAACATTGGGATTTTTCCCAATGGTTTCTGAAACATCAGGAAATTAAGTGAATACACATTATGTGAATTATGTGAAGTGTTCACAGATGAGATGCACACCTATGGATGGATGGATTGATGGATGTGATGATGAAAAAAAGATTCGAAAAATCGAACGTTTTTGCTTCTTTGCAGAATTGAAGAAAAAATTCATTTTGTAAAAAAAATAAATTCCCAGACATTTTTTTTATGGAATTTTCGTTTCAGCTTTAGTCTGGTTGTGGTGGGGGAGAGAGGGTGATAAAAAAAATATCCATCATCATCATCATCAATATTCGAGCATCTTTTTCTTCTTGGTTGGTTTCACTCCCCCCTTTGACTGGGCACTCAAAAAAAAAATTTACAGTTTTTTTTGGCCAGTTCAATGTATGATTCATGAACAACCAAAAGACAAAAAAAAAATTATTGCCTTCATTACATTACATTTCATATTCTGTACATGTACAAAAAAAGTCCTTATGGATATCCATACTTACAAAGGCACATCCATATCACATATTTTACACCAGACTGCTTGGCGGGCAAAATAGTTTAGCTTTTTGTTGTTGAAGGAGGATTGTGGGGGGGAGTGGAAGCAATTTAAACAGATAATTTATGATTGCAATAATAAAGAAATAGATGGATAGATAGCAAGAGGGAGAGAGAGAGCGAGAGATGAAGAGAGAGAATACAAATTCTCAATAATCGTTGATAATATTAACAATTGAAAATTTGGTCAAACAACACTTGAGGAAGACGAAAGAAAAAAAGAAAAATATTA